GCTGTCTCAGCACGAGGAGAATGAACTGGCAGAGGAGTCCAAGGCACTGGCCAAGGGCTTCTGCTCTGTGAGGCTTTCTCCACCCTCCAAGTCACGCCTGGCCCGGCGGAGGGCCCTGACCCAGGCAGGCCGCAGTACTGAAGAGGGGCCATGCCCCACACCCACAGCTCTCTGACCGACTCCAGTCACACCTTTCAGGCCCTAGGTCTCTCCAGGCATTGCCCCCTGGAAACCTGTGAGGCCAAAGTCTACAGAGCCCACAAAGGGACCTGCTGTGGGGCTGGAGTAGCTTTCTCACCCACCGAGGCCCTGAGTTTCCCACCCAGCCCCCCATTTCCCCAGGGACCTCAAGGAAAAAGCTTTCTCCAAAGGGGTTGTCTTTGAAAAGGAAAGCAATCACTTGTCACTTTGCATAATCGCCTAAGGCAGGGACGTCTCTGCCGGGCTCCAGCCCACCTGCTCACCCGCCTGCAGATCCTGGATCAGCCTGCCAGCCTGCTCTCCTGAATGGGCAGCGGTGGCTGGGGCAGCAGCCTTCAGGGAGCCAGCCTCAAGAAGCGTCAGCTGACAGAGGCCCTTCCCTCCCTGCCGGTCACCCCCCCACTCTGTCTGTCCTTCCACCTTCCTCTGTCCTCTGGATGTCCTCCCCCTGGGCTGAGCAAAGCCGTCCCCTCAATTCAGGGAAGGGCAGAGAGGCTTTGCATGCCGGAGCCAGATCAGTCTTCCAGTCTGTAGCACAGAGAAGCACATAATCTTTCTTTGCCGTGACCGAAATGTGTCCCTCATTTATCATCCTCTTCCTTGTTTGGGATTGCTGCTAACGTCAGTATTATTTCGTTTTAAAAAGTTTTTTTTTTAACCACGCTATTTTAACCGCCTTCCAGCAAAGATGGGAGTTAAAGCTCCCCGTTGCAAGCCCATGGACTGACTAGAGCGCGCAGAGGTTCGCTCTTTTCCTGAATGCCCATGCGTGTGAAAGGTTTTAATCAGCTGTTTCCTATTATTCTAATTGGTTTTAAGTGACTTAGAGGCCGAGTCTGCTGCTACCTCTCAGGCCTGTTGTGGAAGGCAGCACAGGTCGGGCCTGAGGCAGCCCAGCTGCGCAGGCTGAGGATGTGGTGCTGCTGCCTGCCAGGGAGCACGAAGACGAACCTGGCATCAGATAAGCCGAGCTGCTGAGTTACCTGAAGAAAATGGATATGCATATCTCAGGCAGACATTTACACAGCACCACGCTGCTGTTATACATTGTGCTTGTTTGAATAAAGCTTTTAAACTGTAGCTGTGGCCTTCCTGGTAGTCCTTTCTTCACCTGCAAACCTGAAGAGGAGACCAGACCTCTAAGGAAAGCACCTCATCGGGTTCACAAAACAAGGTGAAGGAGACATGATTGCTTTTCTTTTTCAGGTAAGGAAATGAGGGTCATCAAACATTTGTCCATCTCCTAGTCCGTGCCAAGACCCAGAGATGAGTAAGAAACAGCCTGTGCCTTTCAGGGTCTCCCCATCAGGTAAAGGTGCTGTCAGCAGGCTGGCTTCAAAGCAGGCTTTAACCGATGCGCCCTCCACACGGCCCGGCCCACCACCCAAGTGGGAACAAAGTTCCCCTCTGTCTAAAGCAGCCCTTCTTGAGGATCCATTGTGTGCCAGGTTGGCAACAAAGCAAAATGGCACCTCACATCCACAGCCTGCGTGTTCATCACGCAGGGGCTCTTGTGTGCGTGTCCTGCGTAATCTCAGAGCCAGGCTGGAAAGGACGAAGGCAGGGCCTTTATAAGTTCCCAAGGAGGTGGCAGGAGGGAGGTCTGAGTGTCAGGGCAATGAATGGGCAGAGCAGAGCTGGGAGTGGGGACTAGGGGCTCCTCACTCTGGGGGCGGCGATGGGCCCAGCCACAGCTGTCCTGTCCTGTGAGTGCCTCCGTGTGATGATGACACGCTTTCTGCTGGAAGTCTTCCCTCTGCAGGACCTTCACCACCCTCACATCCCGTCTCCATCTGCCCGGAGTGGGTTGGGCCAGGAAATCAGGCCTGCACCATCGGAGCCTTTTAGCCCCAAGTCTCCCAGTGCTCAGGACCAGGGTATGAGTTTTGTCTCTGGACTCCAGCCCCAGCCTGGTCAGACCTTCAGGTTGGTCCAGCAGGGAGGTGACTTCGAGGAGTTTCCTGGATCACACACTCCCTGCGCCCAGCCCCACTCTGCCCTGCACGCAGCTCCAGCTGGTCCCTCCTGCCTCTGTGCCTGAGCCCAGGCTGTGCCCTCACCACCCACCTCCCACCCCAGACCACCTGCCGGCCCTCCCATCCGCCACTCCTCTGTGTAAATGCTACTGCGCCTGTTCTGGTGTGCTAACTTTAATGTGCACTTAGTAACCAGTTCTTTCTGAGAAGCTCGGGGCATTATCACATGTAATTCTCACAGTAGTCCTGTGTGGAAAGGTGCTATTATTTTACCCTACTTACCCTGAAAAACCAAGTGGAGAAGGGGAAAAATAGCTTGCCCGGGGCTGTACAGCTAAGAAGGTGGAACTGGAATTCTTTCCAGAGAGACTTGGGGTCCCAGAGCTGGACTGCCAGGTTCAACCCCAGCTCTGCCTCTTACTAGCTTTGGGCCTTGGGCAAGTTATTTAATCTCTGAGAGTCTCCGTTTCCTTCACCAAAAATTGGGCAGGTTGTTGTGAGTCACAAATGAACAAATGTAGAGCATTTAGGGCAGTTTCAGGCACACACAGTAAGTCCTCGATAATTGTTAGCTATGATCGTTTTGGTTATTTTTACTATTACCTCCTGTTGCAGAATTACTCATCCTTTCCTGGGCTGTGGGTGGAGCTGGGTCTGGGCTTTCCAGATGGGCCCAGTATCCTGCCCTTTACGGGGGTCCTCTGCTGACAGGCTGCTCTGCCCCTCGGGGGTGAGGTTCCTCTTACCAAGGAAGCAGCAGTGGGTGCTGGGGCCCTGAGTTCTAGTCCTTCCTCTGCCACTGTTCACCAGGCGACTGTAGGAAGGTCACCAGGCCACTGTATGAAGGGCTTTATTCTTCCTGCGGACCAGGCCGTGTGCCTGGCTCTGCTGGCAGGGGCAGATGTGGCAGGCACACAAGGGGAGGCTTTGGGGACCAAAACTGTGGCAGCTGGTTCCCAGGCTCTAGGATTCACACTTAGGTTGGACCTTAGGAGAGAGCTGGTCCCCAGACAGTGGTGTGTGTCAGGCCTCGGCCTCAGCCCCAGCCGCTGCTGGTTCAAGCAGAACCCGAGGACTCCTGTATGAGCCCCATCTGGGCCCGGGCACAGGGACCAGGTGTTTCTCTCGCCAGGTCCCCCACCTGCCTGAGCTCTAGGCCCTCCTTCTTCCCTCCTGACTGCCCCTCACCAAATTAGCTCCAATAGCAGTGCCTGGGGCCTGTGCCAACTGCTCCAGCTACTTAGTCTGGAAGGAAAGGAGGAGCAAGGTTCTCCCATGGCTGGCACTCTTGTTGCCATGGTAGCCGTTGCCTTGGAAGCTGCTTCCTGACTTCAGCTTCCAAACAGCCCGGAAAGCTGCCTGTCCCCCAGGGGATCAGTGAATTAATCATGCTCTTTTCCAGGGTCCTCACCCCTCAAGGAAAATAAACAGAACTAAAGCAAACCCAGGCATTTTTGCCCACTCTTCCCACCCCTACACCACCCTTGGATCTGGAAGGAAAGTTCACGGCAGGCACCCTCCAGAGCTGGTCTCAGGAGACAGAGAGACTGTGTGATGGAACTCAGCGGTGACCCACGGCCTTGACACACCCTGAGTCTGGGTCTGGAGGACCCAGGCTTCAGGGAAGAGGGCTCTGAGGCTTGTGGGGTGGGGCGTGGTGAGCGGTCCGGCTCTAGTGCCTTGAGCTTCCATGTCATTTACCTGTTGTAATAAGCATATTGTCCAAGGACAGATATGCATTTCAGAGATGATACAGCCTGTTTGGAGATGAGAACGGGCAAGCCTTCCTCTCTACATGTGTAATCAATGGAGGAACAAGCATCATAAAAGTTCCGTGTAGCTCTTAATGGCGCTCTCCTGTGATGAGGGAAAAGATGCAGGCTGGACTGATGTTTCAGCCCACAAATCCTAAAAGAGCTTGCAGTGTCTCTTTCTACAGTCTAATAGGGATGCTGAGAAAAGGTATATGGTTTTTCTATGGGAAATCCTGGCCCTTGAGGAATGGGATTTGAGTTGGGGACAGACATGTAACAAAACTCAATGAAAAACACCTAGAAACTGTCTTCAAAGCAGCCAGCATCTTTTGGTAGGTCTGGATCTCAGAGCATTACTAAGCGGAAACATCAATTTGTTGTTCCACTTATTCATGCATTCATTAGTTAATTCTTGGATGTGCCCTGACTAGGAATCGAACCCACAACCTTGGTGTATCAAGATGATGCACTAACCCAGTGGTTGGCAAACTCATTAGTCAACAGAGCCAAATATCAACAGTACAACGATTGAAATTTCTTTTGAGAGCCAAATTTTGTAAACTTAAACTATATAGGTAAGTACATTGTTATTAACTTAATTAGGGTACTCCTAAGGCTTAGGAAGAGCCACACTCAAGGGGCCAAAGAGCCGCATGTGGCTCGCGAGCTGCAGTTTGCCAACCACAGCACTAACCAACTGAGCTACTGGCCAGGGCTCTCTGTGATTTTGGAACTGATAATGGTTCAATGTGTCTCTCCTCCATATTTCCTCCTCTGACCTGTGCCCTGAGGGATTTGCAATGTTAAAGAAAAACTCTAATTTGCTATTTGGTCTCCAGTTTTTAGAGGTCAGAATGTTCTGGAATCGGAAACTCATGATGCACAAGCGTCCCTGACTTCAGCCTCTGCCATCCCCCTCCCCATTCACAAGATGAGCAAAGCCAGACTTCGGCAGAGGCGTGGCTGGCCCAAGTCCCACAATTCCAGGTGGGAGACATGGCCCCAGAGCCCCTGTCTTGCTTATGGGCTGGGCCTTACACCATGAGAGGAGCCAGCACAGGCCCTGCCATCAGGGTTATGCAAACACATTATGGAGGCGGGGGCCCTGTGGAGGATGTTCAGATTCCCAAAGCTCGACATCTCTTGTTTTCATGGACAATTATTTTGACGGCTCCTTCTAAAACTAGCCAGTGGGGGATCAATTACGTGTAACAGAAACATGGTCTGTCATTTGATGCCTAATTAGAGGAATAATCAGACCTCATCCTGGTGAGAGGCACAGGGGATATTGGCAGCAGTGGCTGAGGCTGAGGAATGTCCACCTCCCGGGGCTTTCTCCTATGAGCCAGGATCATGGCCCAGGGAGCCCATGGGTGCTCTGCAGGCACCTCGCCTCTCTACACACCTTTGAGTTCACACCTGTCCCCGCCCAGGCCTCTCTCCAGCATCTGGGCATGCCTTCCCTTGGCTGAAGCTCAGTCAGGTGACTCTGGCCTTCCTAGGCCCCCCTCCCCCACCAAGGAGAGCCCATGTCACAGACAGAGGTCCCATGGTGCCCTCGGCCCTCCTCATTGCCCACCTGAGGTGGTTGTGAGGGTCCATGCCTTCTCTGAGCTCTGGTCCCCTCTGGCCATGCATTCTGTGGCGCTCACTCCCTGCAACTGCCCTCAGGGCTCACAGGCTACAGAAGGGACACAGAGAGAATGAGGATTGATGGTGGGCATTTCGGGACATGGCAGCAGTGCTGGGCAGCCCACCCACTTGGGCACCATCAGCAATGGCTTCACAGAGTGGGGGCTGGCTGAGCAGGGTCCCGAAGGATGAGGAGGTATTAACTAGACTGCAGGGGCCAGGCAGACACTCAGCAGGAGGGGAGGGACCAGGGCCGGGGCAGCCTTGGAGGCAAAGACCATGGGCCCAGCTGTGCTAGACTACAGATGTGGTGGGAGAGATGGGGATCTAAAGAGAAGCCAGTGGGGTCGGGTGATGGACCCTGGGTACTATGCCCAGGTGTGTAGGTCCAGGGCTAAGGTTAGGGCCATATTCTGGGACCGGGGAGCCTATAGGGCCATATAGGGCCACAGAACACAATCAGTGATGAGGGCCAGAACTGGGGCGGGGGCAGGGGGGAGGGGGACAGGGCTGGGCTGCCTGGGCTGGGTGAGTGCTGCCCAACCTCAAGTTGCTGGATCCTGCCAGCAACTTGTCAGATAGGCTGGGCAGAGGAGCTCAGGCCAGAGGTCGGGAGGTGCCAGCCATGTCCCAGTCTCCTGACCCAGGCCACGGTCACCAGCCCCCACCTGGGCTGATTCCAATCCCAATTCCTCTCCCAGCCCTAGCCCTCGGGGCCCCCACAGCTCTTCCCTGTCAGCTCCCTGCCAGGGTTCCCAGGAGGCTAGAAGGGCTCACTCTCTCAGCCCACTGAAAACTAAAGAGGAGTGAGTACCAAGCCTAACTGAGGAGAAGGGTGTGGGGGGAGAGAGGGAGGGCAGGCATACAGAGTGGATTTGAAGGGACACCTCTCCTTCTCCTCCTGTCCTAGTTGCTGTTCCTGTCTCTCGAGTCTCCTCCAGGTCTCCTTCCCTCGCTCTGTCTCTGAGTCCCCAAGCAGAGCCCCAGGTGCACCTCCAAGCCAAAGGGACAGCAGAGTGAGTCCTGAGTATGTGGCCAGGGAGTCTCCTCACATCCCTGGCTACTGAACCCCACATGAAGCCAGTAGCTCAGTGTGCCCTGTCAGGGACCAGTAGTGGAACCTGGGCTGACTGCCCTAGGGGGCCGCTGGGACCCAGGCAGCAGCTCACATTGCAACCTCATGAATAACTCAGCACCTCCCTGCTGCCTGCCTCTCAGAGGAACCTGGCCCCTGGACCAACCCCCCTCCACACACACACTTCTTTAAATTTTAATAAGCCAGGGCTCAGTGGCGGCTGAGCAGGCTCCTGGGAGCTGGGGCAGGATGTCCTGGGCAGGGGAGCTTGGGCTGAGCTCTCCCAGGAGGAGGCAGGCAGTGGAGGACCCCATGGGGCAGGCCCCGCTCTCCAGCACTGGGTGTGGCCAGGCAGGAGTCCCCAAAATGGTCCCCAGCTTCAGAGGCCTTTAGGGAAGGAACAATAGCTGGGGTGACCTGGAAGAGATCTTAGGTCAAGGTGGGGGACACCGAGGAGAGTGTGGGATAGGGTTGCAGATAAATCTAAGGGTGACAAGCCCAGAATCTTACTGCCCAGAAACTCCCACCCTGAAGGTGGAGCTCCAACAAGGGACAGCCAAGAGGACCAAGACCGCCAGGGCTTTTACGGGAACCGGCCCCACTGGCTGGCCACGGTGCCCTGGGTAGGCCTGCATGGACATCCCCATCAGCAGCAGAGACTTCCGCTGCCTGCAGCTGGCGTGCGTGGCCCTGGGCCTGGTGGCCGGCAGCATCATCATCGGCGTCTCCGTGTCCAAAGCTGCAGCCGCTCTGGGTGGTATCTTTATTGGCGCTGCTGGTCTGGGTGAGCAGGTGCTGGGCTCAGAGAGGGGGCAGGGGCAGGGGCAGGGGCAAGTGAACAGAAAACGAAGGGAAGACCTGGGACAATAGAAATTGGTCGGAGAGGGTGGAAGCTAGAGCAAGGCAGCTTTGGGGGGTACAGGGAGGGAGAGGAAGGTTGGGGTGAGGTTCCCTCTATGGATGGCCGGGAAAGGAGCTGTGCCCCATTCCTCTCTGGCTGCTCCCCCTCTGGTTCTCCAGTCTCAGGCCTGGGCTCTTGGGCTTGTGGTAGGATTCATAAGCCTGCTGGTGGGGCTATGGGAGCAGATAAAAGGGGACCAAGTTCCCAGTGAACCCTCCTTGAGCCAAGACAGGATGTAGCTCAGTATGTCTCAGCAGCAGATCTGTCTGTCCAGGCATCTGTCCGTCTGTGTATCTGGGCCAGTCCCACTGATGTGCGCACAGTGATGCTGAATACCATCCCTCACCCCCCACTCCACCACCCTGGGCCAAACGGAACCAGAAGCACTAGGCTGTGGGCTCTGGGCATCTGTACCTGCAAACTCCAGCCAAGGGCCACGGACACTTGGTCTGGGGATACAGTGGGAATGGCAGGGCAGGACCCACTCTTCTGCTACCCCCTCTCCAGGTCTGGGCGGACAGGAGCATGCTGAGGAGCCGCCCCCGCCCCCAGCCCTACCCTGGGGGAGTTGGTGGTGATTGTGGCAGCTGAGCCTATTTCCAGTGGTTGGTGGGGCCTGTAGCCCCTTCCCCAGATAGGCACTGCTCTCTGCCCCTCCGGGGACCCGCTGTTCGAGAGCGGCCCGTGCACACACTCACAGGCTCACACTGACCCACCCACAGTCCCAACCTGCACACTCCTCCGTGCATGTCCAATGTCACCCTTATAAACCACCCCTGGGCTCACAGCCACCCACAGCTTCATGCAGCTCCCACCCCCCAGGTCCCTCCCCATCACAGAACCCCTCTGTGTCTCTCTTCCCAGGACTCCTCATGTTGGCTTACCCCTTCCTGAAGGCTCGGTTCAACCTAGACCACATCCTGCCTAACATAGGTGAGTCCTCTCCCCGTCCCCAGCATTCTCTGCCAAAGTCTGTGCGAGACCCTTTGTATGTAAGTCTGCGGCCCACTGTGCAGGGAACAGAGCCCACATGTGCAACTGCTCCTGCTTGTGTGTGTTGGAGTTGTGTGTGTGTGTGTGTGTGTGTGTGTTTGGGCGTGTGGTTCAGGCATTGCTATGACTACAGTACAGCACATTCCAGCCTGCTGCAAAAGTGCCTAACACTGCTCAGAGCACCTAAAACTCCCATCTCCCCTGATAGATTTTCCATCTCCCCCAAACCTCCAAAATCTCCACATCTCTCTACTTCATCCCTGAGCCACCATAAAACCTTTCTCCCTTAAGACCTTAGCACCCTTATATAGCCTCCACCTCCCCAAATACACCCTCCCATCTCATCAATCCCATGGGGCTTTACATATCCCCAGTTCCCTACCATCTTCTCCTTCAAGGCTCTTTCCCCATCTCCACCCAACCCCACACCAGCCCAGATAGTGTAGAAGACCTAAAAGAACTGTGGAGCAAAGACAGCCGCAGGAATGGAGATTAGACAACAGGAAGGACTTCCCTTTCCAAAACTGGCTTAGTGACCAGGGAGCTCGGGGTGGTCTCATTCTGCAGGGAACCTGAGAGTCCACCCCCATCCAGCGCCAGACCAAGGGGAGGGAAGATCCAACGCCAATGGCAATAAAGAGGGTAAGTACCAGAAATTCCAGAATCCTTCTGCCTTTCCCCTCTGGCTGAGCGGCTCTGTGGGACCCATGAGAAACCTTGGGGGGCAATCAGAAGGGATCTCCCCAGCCCCAGAGAGCCCGCAGAGTTGGGTAGTTCTTCCATATGTTTAGTCAAAACCCTTCTTGCTCCAAGCTGAGCTTAGCTCCTCTTGTTTGTCCTCAGGGCCTGGGATCGTCAGCACCTCGCTGCCCCTCCCCCCCCTCCATCCCATGCCCCAGTTCATTTTCTCACTCTCCTCTCCCACTGTAGAACCCAACTCTCAGAGCTGGTACCTGAAACTGGCACCTTCCTCCTGCTCCATCTCCACACACTGGAAAATTCCAGGCAGCCCAGCCCGCAGTGCCTGCCACCAGCGGGAGGATGCCTCAGCTCAGCATAGGTCCCATGCCAGACACTGTTCCCAGCACTTTACATATATTAATTCATCCCAGTCTCAGAACAACCATATGAGGAAGGTACTGTAATTAGCCCCACTTTACATACGGGGCACAGGGAAATTAAGCGACATAGCTTGGAAGTAGTGGGGCTAGAACTGAGCCCAGGCAGTCAGGCCCCAGTTCCTGCCTCTAACCCCACATCAGGCTGCAGTCCTCTGGAAGGGCCATTCTGGCCATCCACGCCTCTATGAATGGGGCTGAAACTGCCTCCTGGGCCTCCCCCTCTCCCTAGTCCATCCCACTCTGCTCCAGGTCCCTCTGGGTAGCTCTGACCCAGAGACCTGTCTACTCAGGCAGCCCTGTCCTGGTTTCTCCCCCCAGGAGTCCGAAGCAGCCTGGCCACTGTGAGCAGAACCTTGGAGAAGCTGAAGCCAGGGGCCCGGGGGACTGGGGAGGGCTGAGCCCCTGGCTGAGGGGCTGTCCCCTGCCCTGCTCTGCCCTCCCTTCCTGCCTGCCACCCGGATTTCAGAGCCCTCCTGGGTCCAAACCAGAAATGAACCAGGACCTGGAGATATCAGACCTGCACTCACCTGGCCAAGGCTCTTGGCAACGGGATCCACAGAGTGGGGTCCGGAAGTCTGAAACAAGATGTCGCTGGAAGCCCCACGGGGGTCTTTGTTTTAGGCTCTTGACCTGGATTTTCTCTCTGGACTTCAGCTCAGCTTCCTTCCACTTTCTATCTACTGACTGGTTTCTGTGGAATTTAGGGTCCAGGGATACCCCGGTCTCTTGCTTCAGCCTGATCACAGAAGTGAACCACAGGCCCACAGGAACCACAGACAGAGTCCTGGCTGGGCCCTTCAGCCCCCAGGCCTGGCCCTGGGCCTCTAGAGCTCACTGGCTGAATAGAGGGGCTGGATCTGATTCTTTTGGGGATATTAAAACTCCGTGCAACTCCTCAGGGACCTTAGCAGCAGTGAACCTGAGGGGGAGTGGGAGGTGAGGGGGGGAGAAGGATCCTAAACAAACCAAGTGGTCACTGTCATGACGGGGGGCTTCCAGGAGGAGGTGGCTCCTGAGCTGAGCCGGCCCCTGAGACTCTTGGTATTTGACTCCAGACAAGACATCCAACCTCCTTCTCCTCCCCACCCTCCACCCTCTCACTGCTCCTGAACACTCAGAACACATCCAGCCTCCAAGCCCTGGCTCATGTTCTCCTGGAGGCGCTTCTGCTCCTCTCTGCCTTTCAAAACCCCCACCTTTAAAGGCCTCGTCCCAAGAATCCCTTAACCACAGCTCCCTCCTGGTCCTTCCACCAGCTTGTGTCTCCCTCTCTCGATAGTCTTCAGGCAGGTTGAAGTCTTCTTTTTCATGAAATAATTATTAATCCTATTTAAGCCTACTATGTGTTGCCCTTTTCCTGTCACCATCAAGTCCCAAAGGGCTCAATAAATGTTAATGGCTTCATTGTAATGGAAAAAACATTCCCCGGGCTTTCTCTACAGATCCACCTCAGGGCCCCATGCACCCACAGGCTTGGGGTGAGGAGGACCTGGCCCACGTGCAAGTGACTGCAGAAAACATTATTCCTCCTTCCACACCACTCTTCATACACATGCACCTTCATGATCTCTTTGGAGGCACCTGTTTGTGGCCTCTGTCCTGGTCTGGTGAGCAAAAAGACAGAGCTAGAAAGAATCTCATTCTGAAAGGTTCCGTGCAGGTGGCACCTCCTCTTGGAGGCCTCCCCTGATTTCTCTGTGCTCCCACCACCCCAGGTCTCCCTCCATCATAGCCCACATCACTCTGAATGGCCCTTGTCTATTTCTCCTCTTGAGGGTAAGGGGAAGAGAGCTGGGCATACAGAAAATACCCAGTGGATGTTGGAAAACCCAACCAAAAGCGGGAGAGACCATCTCACTGTACAGATGGGAAAGTTGAGACTCTATAGGGAAAGGACTCATCAAATCCCAAGGTGGGAGATTGTGGAGCCATGCCTTGCACCAGGTCTCCTCTCTCTCCCCGCCCAAGAGCTATTTTCTGCACAGGCCACAAGGACCAGCTCCCTGACCATGGAGGGACAGGGCTCCCTCAAGGGGCTCAATGTCATATACTCTGGCCCATTGTGGAGTGTTTCATTCTTCCAGCCTTTGGGAAGTCAGCTCCCCTCCTTGCCTTTTCCTCATCCCCTCCTCCTTCCTGCTCCTGCTCCTGCCTCTTCCCCTTTTCTTTCTCCTCTCCCGAAACCTCATTATCATCAATAGTAGTCAGGCTTGGCGGCCCCTCCTTGATCAATAAGGAACCCTTCCTCCTGTCTATCTTCAATTCTCACGTGCAGCACCCCCAAAAGTGCCCAAGGCTGGAGGGGGTGGGAGTGGGGCAAGGGGAGCCTGGGCTCTCCCAACCAGGCCCACCATCAACCCTTCCCAGCCATGATCTCCCCAAAGGCTGACAGGGCAAGGCACAGAGCAGTGGGGGTCAGAGTGGAATAAATTAAGGAATGAACATATAGAAAGGCACTGGAGCCCTAGCCGGTTTGGCTCAGTGGATAGAGTGTCAGCCTGTGGACCAAGGATCCCAGCCTGGGGACCAAGAATTAGATTGGGGATTTGATTCTGGTCAAGGGCACATACCTCTGTACCTCCGTTGCAGGCTCCTCCCTGACCCAGGCCCTGGTCGGGGGCTTGTGCAGGAGGCAACCAATCAATGGGTTTCTCTCACATCAATGTTTCTCTCTGTCTTTCCCTCTCTCTTCCACTCTCTCTAAATATCAATGGGAAAATGTCCTCATTGAGGATTTAAGAAAGAAAGAAAGAAAGAAAGAAAGAAAGAAAGAAAGAAAGAAAGAAAGAAAGAAAGAAAGAAAGGAAGGAAGAAAGAAAGAAAGAACAAAAGAAAGAAAGAAAGGCACTGGAGAATTGTGTGGGGTTCAAAGGACCCTTGAAACTGGGTGGGAGTTCTTGAGGCCACGTCTGGCTCCTCTTTTCCCCCACCCCCACCCCCACCCCCAATATCAGCTCCTTGAGACTCCTTCCCCCAGTGCAGGTGAATGTCCAGATACTCCCTCCCCAAGCCTGTCTCCACTCCGGCACCCCCACACCCTCAACCTGGTCACAGGCGTGGTCCATGTAGAGACACAGGCCTTCTCCCCACCCCTGCTTTGGAAGAAGGTGAGGTTGGGCCTAGGGGACAGGGGTGGAGTGGTGGGCAGTGTTACGGGGAAGTGCCCTCTCACCTCTGAGCAGCTCCTGAACTCTGCAATATTTAAGCACGGGAAGGGTGTGGACAGGGCCAGGTCACTGGACCTGCTGTGTCCACGCTCTGTTCAATAAACGAAATCAGTTCTGTCCAATAGTGGTGGCCGTGGCTGTGCCTGGCGGGCCCCTGGCTGGGTGGTGGGGAGGGTGCTTGGTCCAGGCAGTGCACTAGGCCAACCTGGGGACTGACCGCGGGGGGTGGAGCCTGGAGTTAAGACTCACATCCTTGTTCTGGCCCCGTGCCTCAGCTTCCTCACCTGCAGGTCAGGACAGCAGCCCCCTCACAGGACCGCTGTCAGGGTGGAGGGAGTCTGGCACCAGCTCACATAGGGAGGGCTGTGTGGGGATGGGAGGATGGATGACAGGGAGGCAGAGGGGCTCTTCCAGCTGAACCCCGAGTCTGGAAAGTCGCCCCTCAGATGCCACCCGGTCTCGCTAACACAGCCCAGGCTGGTGGCCTCGAGCCCGCACTCCCTCCTCATTCTTTCGCCCCAAGAGCCCTTCCCCATCGCTCTGGGGAGACACCGTCCCCTGAGAGGCTGTGGCCACACCCCTTTCTAGGGGCAGGATTGGTGGAGGGTGGCTGGGGAAGGGTGATGGAGAACAATCCCATCTCTGGAAGAATCTCCCCGCTCCCACAGCTCCGTCCCCACCCCCTCCGAGGAAATCCGTCTGAGGCTGCAGACAGACCCAGGGGGACCCGCATCCCTCGCTGGAGGGTGAGCGGCGCTGTGTCCACCGCGGACTCAGAAAGTCCAGACCGGAGCTTGTGGGCGGCTGGGGTCTCGGCCGGGGGCTTGAGACCCACAACGACGCCGAAGGGGGAGGGGAGACGCGCGGCGAGGAGGAGCGGGGAGCAGGACACTTCGTGAGATCATCGCTCCTCCTGGGGTCAGAGGGAACGAGGGGCCGCGACCACGTTGGAATCTGCGCGCCTGGCCGCCGCCCATCACCCGCGTTCTCTCGGCCCTCCCCGC